AGTCTATGAAACCACCTCATTTGGGCAGATCCAGCACCACCTCCTTCCCCTCCTGGTCACTATCCTGCAGACTGGACACACACCCTCATGTTTAAGGAAATGTGCGACATTTCACATGCAAAGTCATACGGCTCTGTGGTGACTGATGCAAAAAAACACGAGTTACGTCAAAGGTGGACCAAGACTGATCAAAAAGATGCCCCCGGGCAGACACACGAACATTCCACTGTGCAGTTGCGGGAGGTGCTGCAGAAAGTGAGCTGCCAAAAGGAAACAAAATCCCCAGTAGGAGGGCGATGTCTGCCAGAAAGACATTGCGGGAGAAGGAATGCCCACTCACATGACTAGACCAAAGCGCATGCGATAAATGTTGCAAAACAGCAGTCTCCAGCCTTTTTAAGCGTGAGATCACTTTCTGAATTAAGTGCAATCCAAGATCTACCTCAAATCCAAATACCCTTGCCCTGCCTCCTTCGTGCCCCTTCCTCAAGGCCCCACCCCTGCACACTCCATCCCCCTCCCTTTCACCAGGCTGGGGCAGCAGGTTGGGGTGGAGGCTCTGGTCTTGGATTAAGGGATTTAGAGTGTGAGAGGGGCTCTGAGCTGAGCTTAGGGCAGGCAGTTGGGGTGCAGGCTCTGGGAGGGTGTTTGGATGCAGAGGGCTGGGAGGAGGGGGTTCAGGATGTGGGCTCCAACTGGGCACCGCTTACCTCAGGTGGCTCCTGGGCAGTGGTACAGTGGGGCTAAAGCCCTGCACCACTCCCAAAAGCAGCCAGCAAACTCCCTCCCAAGTCCTGTTATGCCCCCCACCCTGCTCTGTGGAGACAGGATACAAGGTGGGAGAGGGGGCACCTTGACTTCAGCATCCCTCTTCTCCTTCCCCTGCCCTGCACAATAAGTAGGAGGCTCCCGGGGGTGTGGGGAGGCAGCTCCAAGGCAAAGGGCAGGAGATTCATAGCAGTGAGGAGAGGAGAGGAGAGGCAGCTGAAGTGCTGGCACTTGATAGCCTCTTGGACAAACCAATCAGGAACACCTGTCAGAGGCGCCACGCTCTACCAATAGATCCAGATCTACTGGTTGGTGACCACTGTTGTAACACAAGCTAATCGCCAAGTATTTAACACCTGAAACTAGCCATGGACCCAGGACCTCAATGTGCTAATCACAGTAATTAACGGTCTAAGAATTCTGCTGACATCATCATTGATAGTGACAGGTAAAGGTGAAAGTTTATAGTGTGAATTGCTGGGTTACTTGATCTTTTCATAGTTAAAAAGCATATGATTTGTATAAAGTTTTCAAGAAGTAATGAAAACTTATTGAAGGGTCCAGCGGAGGGAAACCAAAATGATTAGGGGACTGGAGCATATGACTTATGAGGAGAGGCTGAGGGACTTGGGTCTGTTTAGTCTGCAGAAGCGAAGAGTGAGGGGGGATTTGATAACAGCCTTCAACTTCCTGAAGGGAGGTTCCAACGAGGATGGAGAGAGGCTGTTCTCCGTAGTGACAGATGGCAGAACAAGGAACAATGGTCTCAAGTTGTGGTGGGAGAGGTCCAGGGTGGATATTAGGAAAAACTATTTCACTAGGAGGGTGGTGAAGCACTGGAATGGGTTACCTAGGGAAGTAGTTCCTAGGGATGTTTAAGTCTTGGCTTGACAAAGCCCTGGCTGGGTCGATTTAGTTGGGATTGGTCCTGCCTAGAGCAGGGGGCTGGACTTGACCTTCTGAGGTCTCTTCCAGCTCTATGATTCTATGATTAAATCAACAGAATGTCATTAAAAATTGCACTTGGATGTTACCTCAAAACATGATGTAATGATACTACTGAGAGAGCCATTGCTGGCATGGAAACAACAGTAATAATATTCTCCCTTCCAAGACAATAATAAGCATTTTACACACACATACACTTTCTGTGGACCCTTCTGATTTATAACTAATTGCAATCTATTCATAAAGGAGGTGTTTTTCAGTTCACTGGTTGATAAAGTTTTTATGCCCCACTGAAATAAGATGTATAAAGCTGAAATAGCTTGAGATCCATTCTGCAGTTGGAAGAAATGGGGATGTTTTTGCAAATTCTGACTACAATAATGAATTCCTTACTTGCAAAGTCAAAATGAGACTGCCAGGATGAAATCCTGGCCCTGTGAATATCAGAGTTTTGCCATTGACCTCGATGGAGCTAGGATTTCATCCCAGGCGTGTTAGTGTAGTGGAGGTATCGAGGCTGTCAGTAGTACACGTATGTTATGGAGCCCTGCCACTTGTTTCTTCATTGTATTTTCTGTGCAGTAGCATTTACTGAATACCTTTCACCAACACTGGGCATATTTTTGATGTGTTTTCAGACTATTGGTCCAGCCAGGTTCCCTAGTATCATTGTGGGCACTCTTGTGAGAAGCTGGAGCCACAATTGTACATATCTGTGGTAATGAACTATTTCTTGTAATGAGCTGTGGGACTAGAATTGTTACTGTAGCAGTTTTCAGTCTTTGTGAACCCTGAACCATCACACTTCCATTTTGCACGTGCTCAGTTTCCTGCAAAAACTTTGCCCACAGAGAGTACACCCATGTTACAAGGCCATAGTCCTTGGTTTCTGTGGTAGCTGTGACAAGTGACTATTCTTGAAAGAGATGACCAAGCACTGGAGACCCTTACTGATCTACTTTCTGTGGTGGTAGCTAGGCTCCTGCGTAACTGTCCAGCACGAATTCAAGCACATGTTCAGAGGCACAGTTCAGTATTTCAGAGTGACAAAAGCTGCCCTGTATGCTCCACATGAAGTCCCGTAGAGATTATCTAGTTTGGCCAGTATACAGAGGGGCATTGCTGGCATTTGATGGCATAGATCACATTAGTGCAGTTAAATGAGCCTTTGAGTTGGTGGCTGATGTCATTGGGTCCAGTGATGAAACTGCTAGTGTAGATGAAATCACTGTGCAGAGTTGGCACCAGGGCTGATTGCAGGGGTGGGTTCCTGGATGATTATGATGGAGTGTGTTGCATGGTTACTGGAAAGAATTTGTTTGAGGCTAGGGGGTTGTCTGTAGGCGAGGATTGGCCTTTCCCCCAAGGCCTGGGTATCTGAATTAGTCATCCAGTGGATATCAGCGACAGCTTGTCAGTCCTGATCAGCTGAGCTTGGCTATATCTTCACAGTCATAGCTCTTGTGGAGTCTTTGGTCCTTAGGAGAAGAGTTATAAAGGACATTAAACTTGCTGAAAACTCTCTGCAGGTGACTGACTTCAGTCTTGTCATGCTCCCCTTTGTTGTGTTGAGGTCAAAACTACTCAACACTTCTCCTCCCCTCCCCCCCCAGCATGACAGTTTCTTTAGCAGATGCACAATAAATAGTTGCTCTTCAGGAAGTCTTCGGTGAATTGACTATAGCTTTGTCTACACTGCTGGGGTTTTTTTTTTCCAGAAAAAAGGTACACAAATTGTGAACCGCAATTTGCATACCTTTTTCCAATTCTTTTTTTGGAAAAGGCTTTTCCGACATTTGGCCCGACGTAAAATGAGGAATACTAGGCTTCTGAACTCTTCTGCAAAAAAAAGTGGAAGAGCAAACGTGTTCCCTGGACATGGCGGAGTTTTTCTGGGATACCTCTGATATCTCGGAAAAAAATCATACTGTAGATATAGCCTATATCAGTCCTAAGGAATCTTTCATCTGAAGAAGTGGATTGTGCCCACGAAAGCTCATGATACCATCTGCATATTTTGTTAGTCTTTAAGATGCTGCTAGACTATTTGTTGTTTTTTTTAGTTTTTCTAAGTAATCTGGTCGTCCTCGCGTTTGGCGTTTGGAGGAAAGACAATGTCTAAAACTGAGTAGCCTCCCTATTGTTCTCAGCCTAAGAAGAGAGGCAAGTGGTTGCTTGATGACTGATCTGTCGTCACACTGAGCTTTTCACTCTTCGGCGTTGTTGAGGTAGCTTTAATTTTCATTTATTGTGGTAAACTTTGTAGGATGTAAGAGTTTAACCATTTAACCGGTTACCTTCTAGCGCAGCCAGCTCCCCGGGAGTGAGGCTGGGAGCCGGCTGTTGCCCCACACTGCAGACTCTTATACTACAGAGTCTGCGGGGCAGTCACTCCTCCGGCTGCCGGCCCTGCTCCTGGAGGAGTATAAGAGCTCTTCAGTGTAAGAGCAGCGCAGGGTAGCAGCCGGTGCGCTCTGGGAGACAGCTTATACTATATTCTTCCAGGGAACCGACTGCTGCCCTGCAGTCTAAGCTTTATATTGCAGAGCCTGTAGCAGGGGGCACCATGATCATCCTTCCCTCCTCTAGCCTATCCAGCCATAGATCCCCCAAAATGGTTACCTGCGTAACCACTAGGATATTAAACGTTATACGGTTATACTTTGTGACGCCTGCACATGACTCAGGAACTCTTGTGTTGAACTTGTTCAGTTACTGCATGTTGTCAGCTGAAATATTAGTAAATGGCCTTTATTCTTGTTTCTAAACTGCACAGAATATCTGGTGGGTGGTTTTAAGTCAGCCAGGTATACTCTGTAAAAGGGTATTTTTTCATTACTTGTTAGTTATAGTCTGCATGTTTTTTTCAGAGCTGAAGGATGGGCATTTCATATTTTTTTCCTTGACATCTACAGTAGTCAGACTACACCTGGCCATCCTTTGTTGAGAGTTGAATACTGTGTTTTGGTGATTTTGGGGGTGGTTTTTTGGTCAGCTTTCAAACTGTTGTCATTTCACGCACACGGAGCAATCCAGTTCCTTGTCCTTTGCAGTTAGCCCTGGATAATCATCCGCTTGGGTTTTCTCACAGGGACTGGCTGAGAGTTGCCACTCATCATTGTTCTGTTAGATACGGTATGTGCTGTGGGGTTCTAGTAATTCTGTGGCACAGACAGATGCTGATTTTCTGTGTTGGAATCTTCGCAAGTATTGTTTGCATTTTGCTGAACAACTTCACAGTCAAACTCAGTGGATTCCAAGGGATATTTCTTCTGTTTCAATAGACTCAAGATGTTGACTTCTGGGATCCCAGCTTCCTAAGACACAAGACAAACCAAAGTGAATTCTGTGCAGTATGAAATGCAAATAGCAATCAATAACAGGAATCTTCTCTGCACTCATTTGGACTCTCCTGGTCAGGTGCTGCTGCAGCTCCATGTTTCTTCTCCCAATAGACACAGTGTATTAACACAGCTCACTGTGCCTAAGAAGATAAAATAAAGATGTATGTACTCACTGGTTTTGCTCCCCCTCTCTGTGCTCTGTGCTGGGTTCCCCCAAGCTGCCCCCTGCCCCCAGGCTGGCTTGGGTGGGCTTCACTCTGGTTGGCAGCTCAGACTCTGGTGTGCTCAGACTGTTGTCTTTGCTGCTCCTGCTGGTGAGACAATAGACTAGGCTGGTTGTGGTGTGTGACAGTTAAATGGAAGCATGGCTTCTGTTCGAGCTTGGTAGGTTGGCTGTTCTGTCCTCATTTGTTAGGAGTTGGACTCTGCATCTCTTCTCCCCTTGAAACAGCAGCGGAGACTCTCCTCTATGGTTTCAGCAGTAACACGCTTGTCTGAGGCTCTCTGTATCCTCAGTACAGGGCTCAAGGATGCCTAGGGTGCATGTGTGGGCTGAGTGGGCACCAGTGCCAAAGATCACCGCTCCAAGACATGCAGGGTGCAGGTGCAGAACAACACATATCTTGAAGAACTCCAGTTACTGCACAAGGAGAGTAATCTCTCCTTTTTACAGGTGAATCCTTGCCACTGAAGTTGACACACCTGCTTGTTGTGGCAGCCTTGTTTTCTTGACTCTGGGGACATGCAGTAGGGCTCACATTGCCTAGGCTTCCTCTGAGACAGTGGTTTGAATAAGGTATAAGAAAACAGAGCTGCAGGATTTTATTTGTGGTGAGTTGGAAGCGGTTTTGTGACTGTTGAGCCAAGGAAATCTCTAGTCTAAGAAGAATGTGCAAGTTCCTTGGAGTTTTTTGGGGGCTCTTGATTAAGTGGAAATGATTAATTTAGTGGCATTCTAAAGTCTTTATATAGCTCCACTGTATATAATTCTTTATATAGCAAAGCACCACTGATTTATAAGCCACCTTCCCCATGCCTGCGTATTTTCTGCCTTGCAAAGCATAAGTGTAGGGTTAATGAAAGGAAACAGTTCCCTGAGCATGCGTGTTAAGTAGAGACTTGGGATCCGTCCTACTTCCCTCTTTGTAGCAGTCACTGCGTTTGCACAGGGCAGTGTCAGGCTGCCTTCAGTGCAGGGAGGACAGTCACCCCTTGGCATTTCACCTTGGTGATATTTTGGAGCCCAGATCTTTGTCTCGTGCTTCTGTTTTAACATCTTGCCCTAATCTGTAGTGCTGGGATTCCCTTCCAGATCCTCTCGCCTGGTTGGTTGTCCCTTTATAATGCTCAGGGGCAGAGTCCTGTTGAAAGGGCTCCTGGGAACCACATAGCAGTTCCGAGGCAAACTGCAGACTGTTCTGATTCATATGTAGGTTTGGCATATGGCTCAGTGCAAATTAAAGCAGCCACATGATTGTAAAGTTACCATTGTGACTGGCACCAGTTTGGCCTCTTTGTTCAGTCTCATTGGAGTGCTTGGGGCATAAGTGATTTCCCTGCTTCTTACAGACACGACCCCCCCCAGGTTGGGTGTGAGACCCCTGGGCATGAGGCACAGTTCCATTGCTAATGTTCAAGCTGTTCCTCTTCTGTGGAGACAAATCTTCCTTCTTCAAGGCTGTTAGTGCCACCAGCACCGAACTCGAATACATACAACTGAATTGAAACCCAGATAGTACTTGGGAACATGGGTTCCGTTCTCTGCTCTGCCCCTCATTCTGTGGCAGCCTCGTACTAGTCACTTTGTCTCCCCATGCTTAACTCCCAATCTATAAAATATTTCAGTGCCTCTTGGGTGTGCTGTGGGGGTAAATACACTGTGGATTGTAAGGCACTCAAATGCTGCTATAATGGAGGTCATCTATGTACATTAAATCTCTCACTTGTAAGAGTTCCGTTCTCTGCTCTGCCCCTCATTCTGTGGCAGCCTCGTACTAGTCACTTTGTCTCCCCATGCTTAACTCCCAATCTATAAAATATTTCAGTGCCTCTTGGGTGTGCTGTGGGGGTAAATACACTGTGGATTGTAAGGCACTCAAATGCTGCTATAATGGAGGTCATCTATGTACATTAAATCTCTCACTTGTAAGAGACGACTGGCTGGGGCTTGGCCTCTGCTGGAGTGCAGCTGTGCTGGCAGGGCCTACCGCAGTTATAAAACCAGCAAGTAAGGATTTGGGCCTAAGGTTGCGGACAGTGGTGCCTCTGCAGAGCACTGTGAAACAGGAACCTGCTGCTGCTTCAAGAGCTGCTGAATGGATCTGTGACCTGCCTTTCATGTCTGGATCTGACACTTGACACCTCTCATCCCCTGGAGGAGAAATCCTGGTGCAGGGCAAAGTGCTGGAAATCAGTTCAGCAGCAGAGCCAAAGAGGAAGAACTCGCCCCAGAGTAATTCAAAGAGCTGCAGTCTCTAGAACCCTGTCCACACTAGCAGTGGAATTGGTTTGGTATGGTTTGATTACTGAATCCCCTCCATGTAAGACAGGCGACACAGTGGGCTGTTCCCCAACTCCATGGCAGCTGGAGACAGAGCTCTGTTCTTGACCCATCTGTCTCTCTAGATTTCTGTACCCCCAAGCAACAGACCCAGCACTTGCTTTTACAGGATTTTAAGAAGAGGATTGAGCAGGTCACATGCAAGCTTCCTTCATTGACACCAGGCCAGAATCAGTGACTGTAACTACGGGGCAAATCCGAGTGGTGCTGCGATCCCCAGACCGATGTGCATGGATGTTACCATGCCACTCTCTCAGATTGGTCCTGCAGCCCCGCCGTTGTGATGGAGCAGCCGCAGGGCCAAACCTAGTGGACATTAGTTCAGCCAGTGTTGCTCCTTGCTGCTGCCTTTGTAATGTGTGTATGGCTGTGGGTACAGGTGCACCAGACTGCCAGCTAAGTTTAGCAATGCTGAAAAATCATGGGAGACAGGAGAGATTCCAGAAGACTGGAAAAGGGCAAATCTAGAGCCCATCTATAAAAAGGGAAATAAGAATAACCCAGGAAACTACAGACCAGTTAGTTTAACTTCTGTGCCAGGGGAGATACAGGCAGTCCCCGAGTTACGCGGATCCGACTTATGTCGGATCCGCAGTTACGAACGGGGCCGTTCCTCTCCCTGGTCTCCAGCAGACCAGGGAGAGGAAGCAAAGCGGCGGAACACATGGGCAGCGGACAGGGCTGTCCGCTGCCCACGCGCTCCGAGGCTTTGCTCTGCTTTTTCCCCCCCTCCCCCCCCGG